CAAAAACAAATTTAATATACAACTTTTTGTCAAAATTCTTTAAAAATCAAAATTATTTAATTTCATTTTCAGTCCTCAAAAAAAAAAATTGATATACAACTTTTTGTCAAATTCTTTAAAAATCAAAATTATTTAATTTCATTTTCAGTCCTCAAAAAAAAAAAAAAATTGATATACAACTTTTTGTCAAATTCTTTAAAAATCAAAATTATAATAATGATCGTCGAAATTATTTTCCATTCCTTAAAAATCGTTTCTTAGAAGCAATTTAAATTTTTTTTAGTAAATTTCTTATAAAAGATTCAATTCTTTTAAAAAATTTATCGAAATTCAATTATTTTTTAAATATTTACTATTTTTTCATAAAAAATTCAATTATTTAAAAAAAAAATTTTTAATTCTTTGCAAACATTCAATCATTTATAAAAAATAAAAATTTCACAAGAAATCAATTATTTAAAACACAATTCTCAAAAAAAAAAAATTCGAAAAAATCAATTTATTTAAAGAATTGTATTATTTATTATTTATAAATATAAATATTTAAAATATTTTTATAAACTTCTCAGGAATTCAATTATTTTAAAAAATTTTAATAAAATTCGTTTGAAAGAATTCAATTGTTTTCAAAAAGTAATAAAATTCTTAGCAGGGATTCAATTACTTTTAATTTGAATATAATTTTAAATCAATTTTCGAAAAATGCAATTGTAGTCTTAAAAATTGTATTTAAAGAACGAATTCAATTATTTTTATAAATACTAAAATTCTTTTCAGGAATTCAATTATTTTTAAAAATTTTAAATAAAGTTCGTTGCAAAAATTCAATTATTTTCAAAAAGTAATGAAACTTATCGCAAGATTTCAATTACTTTTAATACAATTTTCATACGTATTCCTCGAAAAATGGAATTAATCTAAAAAATTTCAATTAAAAAAAAAAAAAATTCAATTACTTTTATAAATAATAAAATTCTTCTCAGGAATTCAATTTATTTTTAAAAAATTTAATAAAAGTCGTTACTAAAATTAAATTATTTTTATAAATTGACATTGTAAATAAATAAATAAATAAATAAATAATAAAATTATTCTCAAGAATTGAATTCCTTAAGAAACGTTTTCTAATTTTTAAAATTATTTTTCAATCTTGAAAGTAACAATCAAATTAAAAATATTAAAAACGACTTCTCCGAATATTTTAGTAAATAATAAAATTCTTGACAGGATTTCAATTATTTATAAAATACAATTTTGAGTAAATTCTTCGAAAAATGTAATTGTTTTCAAAAATTTTATTTAAATTCTTCAAAAGTAATCAATTATCAATTATTTTTAATGATTTTTGAAAAAGTTCATTGAGAATTTTTAAAATTCTTCAATTAAATACATATTACAAAATAAAATACAAATAATTTTTTCGTAAAAAAAAATTAATTCTACAGAATTTTTAGTTGAAAGTATGAAAAATTCAAATTTCCAAAGATTTTAATATTCAATTATAATCTAAAATTTTAACTGAAATTCATTTTTAAATCAATTTTTATTAGAAAATTCTACGAGAATTCAATTATTTAAATTAAAAAAATAAATATTATATTAAATAATTGAATGTTTCTCAAAATTAAATTCACATAAAGAATTTAATTAACAAAGTTCTAAATAATTCAATTTTTTCGACGAATCTTAATAAAATTTTTAAGAATAATTACATTTTTCAAAGAATTTGATTAAAATTGTATTTAAAATAATTGAAATTCTGCGATGAGTTTTATTATTTATAAAAATAATTGAATTCGTAAATAGAATTTTATTATTTTTAAAAATAATTGAATTCCTGTAAAAATGTTATCATTTATAAAAAAATTGAATTATTGCGAAGAAATTTATAAAAAGAAATTTAAATAGTTGAATTCCTGTGAAATTTTTTATTTTTTTTGAAAATAATTAAATGTTTTTGTAGAATTTTATCAAAATTTTTTTTAAATAATTAAATTCTTTTGAAAAATTTTACTTAAATAGTAGATATTGAAAATCATTGGATTGAAAAAACTTTTCGAATATAATTGAAATTTTTCGAAGAATTTTATTAAAATTTTCGAAAATAAGAATTTTATTATTTGTAAAGATAATTGAAATTTTGAAAAATTTTTAAACATAATTGAATTTCTGAAAAGAATTTTATAACTTTTGAAAATAATTGAATTTATGCCAAGAGTTTTGATAAAATTTTAGAAAATAATTGAATTTCGGATAAGAATTGTATAATTTATAAAGATAATTGAAATTTTGACGAGAATTTAAAAAATATTTTAAACATAATTGAATTTTGGAGAAGAAATTTATTAATTTTAAAGATAAGTGAAATTTTGATGGGAATTTTTAAAAAATTTTAAACATAATTGATTTCCCTGACCAATTCTACTTTCCCTGAATTCCCTGACCTGTGGCAACCCTGTAATTGTAGGAAAAATAAGGAAAATTTAAATATTTAAATTGTGGGAAACAGCAACAAAACATTTGAATATTAAATAAACTCTCGAAAGTTAAGGATTTTGATTTAATAAAAAGGTAAATATTAATTTGCAAAAATGTTAATTAACATTTTCTACAGAGTGCGCGGCAAGTTGTAACATAATAACTTTCATCACCGAAACTTTTCTCATTACATCTTCTCGCGTGCTGTACAGAAATTTCCCAACAGACTTAAAACGCATATAAGTTCTAAAAACATCTTAGAAACTTTCCACCGTCCTCTATACGTCCTAGGGGCAATAATTTCATTTTTCAGTTAGGAGGAATGCATTATGAAAATTTCCCAAACGAGAAAACGAAAAAAAAAAAAATGAAAAGAAGCTAAAGAAAAACAAAAAGAAGAAAAAAAGAAAAAGGGTTTTCCCTTTTTCTTTTTTTCTTTTTCTTTAGCTTCTTTTCATTTTTGAAAAAGAATTTTTTTGTTTTTTAAAAAAGAAGATGAAAGAAAAAGAGTTTTCTCTTTTTTTGTTTTTCTGATGAATGAAAAGAACGAAAAGGAAAAAAAAGAAAAAAATAAATAAAAAAAGAAAACAAGAGAAAGAAAAAAAGAAAAAAAGGAAAAGAAAATAACAAAAGTAACAATTAATAAACAATAGAAAATTATTAACAATCGTAATTAATTGATCTTAAAAAAATGCAACAACTATTATATATAAAATTTATTTTTAAGAAACTAATTCTTTGGATCTTAATCACAATCTTGTGCACACAAAAAAAAATTCCCCCGAAAAGAATTATCTGATAATCAAAGAGGCGTTGATTTTAGACAACCGAATGATCTAGGTCTAGCTATATAAATATATGAAGATTCGATATTTCGATAAATTCGTGTTTGGACAGTGGTCTATAATTAGTAGCATTAGGTGAGAATCTTGGCCACGAGAGGTGATTGTAAAGATGCGTCTAGTCATCAAACGTATAAATGATAAGTGCAATTTTAATTATTGGTTTCCAAAGATTCCTATACACACAATTCAACATCTACTTTACCGTTTTCTCTATCAGCATAATCTCCAAATTACTATGCGATAGAATATGTAAATCTCATTTTATCATTTTACTTATTTTTTTCTCAAAGCAAATTTATATAAGAATAAAGATTATAAATATTTAAAACTATAATTAAAAGTAAAAAAAAACAAAAAGGGAATTATTGACTCAATGACAAGTCTGGAATTTAAACGCTGAACCACTATTAATTATTAACTATTTGTACAATAAGGAAAGAAACTCTGCATTATTATTCTCGAAACCAGAGCGAGGAGTAATGTATCTTTTTTTAAAAATTAAAAAAAAGTTTTTAATTAATAAAAAAATTTCTTTTTTTAAATTTTAAAAATAAATTTTAGTCAATTGGAACTTGAAAATATATTCTTAAATATTATTATTTCCAGAGTGAATTTTACTACTTTTAAAATTTAAAGTAAGTTTTATTTCACTAAAATTTGTTTAAATACAAAAAAAGAAAAAAAAAACGTAAGAAAGAAGAACCAAAATCGTGTACATTTAAAAATAAAATATTTTTTGCCATAAAAAAATATAGACAAACAAAAAATTTGCATTTCGTATTTAAGTAAAGTATGGAATTATTGAAAATACTGATGCAGTAAAAGCAAAAGATTAAAAATTCAAAAACAATTTTAAATGCAGAGAATAAAAAATTTTTAATCTCAGTTCTAAAAGAAATTATATTTTATTTCGATTTCATGTTTTTCTGTTTCGTAAAAGTTATTAAATTTTGAAAATAAAAGCTACTCAGAGATATGTATTTTAACTGCTTTAGAATATTTGTAAATAAATTATTATAAAACATTTGAAATTAAATTTGTCTTTTTTTTTAAAATTAACGAAAGAATTAGAAATAAGTAACAATCGGTCAAAAATAATTAAACATTTTTTATTATTCTATAAAATTATATGATCAAATATTACCGAAAAAATTTTGTAATATTATACTTAATTGTCATTTAATAAGCTTGCTTAGAAAATATTTTATTTGTTCTTTTACACTATTTTTATAATTAATGGATAAAACTTGACTTTTTAACATATTATTTAACCTTTAAACTAAAACTTTTATAATTGTTTATATAACAAAAAAAAAATTTAAGCTCAAATATCAACAAAATAATTATTTTCAAACTTTTTTAAAAAGATTTACAAAGGTAATTTACAAAGAAATTAATTTTCTTTTAAAAAAAAGTTACCATTTCGTGGAGAATCACCCATTTAGGCATTAAATAAATTATTATATTAAATTAATTACTGAATAAATTCACAATAATTATTTTCAATTCAGTTGCAAATGTTTTAAAGCAGTTAAAATATTTATCTCCGATTGTTTCTTTTTTCAAAAAGTTGTATTACGAAGTTTGATAAAAAATTTCCAAATAAAAAGACACGATATTGATATTAAAAAAAAATTATTTCTTTTGAAACTAAACACGTGTCAGTTACTTTACTTCATGGATCATTTTCATTAGCTATCGATTTTTTTCTTATTAAAAAATATATTGCAATCGTAAATTTTTTGTCTCTACGTATAAATACTGTGAAGTGTATTTAGACACAGACATTTCATATCACGGTTAGAAGAAAAGTAAAAATGTTCGTTAAAATGATTCTAAAATTATTGTGCACCGTTTTCTTGATATGTATGGGATTCTTTAGTAATTACAAGAAACTAGTGACAGAAGCACAAGAGATTCATGAAAATTCAATGAATAACGACCAGGTAAATTAATAATTACTAAATCAAATTTTTTTTCTGACGATCATTAATAATTTTAATAATATGTTAAAAGAAAAAAAAACTTTTATATTCTAATATTCTAAAAAGTTAAAAAAAAATTGATTTGCTTGAAACATGTTAATGTGATAAAAAAGATTTTTGGGAGAAAAAAATTTATTGGAATATTTTGAATGTAAAAAATATGTTTGCTTAAGACAGTATATTAATTTTATTAAAATATTTGTATTCTTATAATTAAAAATAAAGGGAAGTCTACTACTGAATACCATTCAAATAACTAGAACAAATATCTACGACGAAAATTTCCCAGAAAATTTAAAAGAAAAATATAAACTTAGCTCAGAAAATGTAACATTCATAAGAAAACTAAAAATAGCTATTAAATATTTTGATACCATGATAAACAATAATGACTGCTATGAACCAAGTCTAGATGACAATGGTTCTAAAACGAATTTTTTTAAAGTAATCGAATTTGAAAGAGAAAATGCAGAAAATGAAGAAGAGTTGAAATTAATGACATCGAAATGTGAATTGCCAATGTTGAAATATGAAGAAATGTTTAGAAATTATTATTTGTTTTTTTTGGAATATTTAAAATATTTTCCAATGCAGTTTAATAATCAAAATTATACTAACTGCTATTCTGATAGTTTAATAAATGTAATATGGGTTAAAAAATTAGCTCGTTATTACTTTTTTTATGGATTAAAACAGATTGAATTAATTTTCACAGATTTAATAATAGACGAATTGTCAACCTTAAAGTTCTGTGTATTATCTCAGGTAATTTATAAGTTATTAAAAAACATTTCCTTATCCTTTAATAATATTAAGGTATTATTGTAATTTTCAAACAGCAAAAAATTTTATTTTATTAAAAATTTAACGATATTTTAATACACTATTTGTATTGTAAAAAAATTTATTGTAATATTAGAAAAACATATTCACTTAATTTGTAACTTGAAATATTTATTTTCGCAGCCAAAATATGAGACACTATTGAAAAACGATTCAATTTTGTCAGAAGTCATTATGAGTAAACGGTATGACAAAAAAGTATTTTCTTATGAACTTAATGAAAAATACGAATTATTCCAAAGTCAATTGGAAATAATGTTTGATTATTTTGAAACAGTTTTGAATCTTCAAGATTGCAATGATATACCCATGGATAATGTAATAAAAATTGGTAGATTTAATTTTCAAAAAGTAGTAGTTTTGCTTTATCGTGAAAAAAAAAACATATTTTATTTCGACAACAATTTAGTTGAAATAATACATTTTCCATGTCATAGGTGCAGTAAAGAAATGAAAAAATTAATGCCGTCAGATTGTGTGCCAGAATTAAATAGAAATAAAGAAACATTTGAAAAACTCTATAAATTTTTTGGTCTCCTAAAAAAATATTCAACAAATTTTGTTGGTAATAGGTAGGGGAATGTAGTCAAGGTTGGCCTACTGTCTAGGTAGGCCACTCGCGTTTTTTTGTCAAGTTCACTAGCGCCACCTACGCGCATTTTTGTCGAAGCTTGTCTTAGTGAAACCTAACTTTTTGTTCAATTACATTTTCGGAAAATCGAAAATTGTGTTTTCTGTGACGTCGGTACAAAAAAAGCTCAAAAAAAGTTTTGTGCATAATGTGAAAAACCATTAATAAAAGATAAAAAACAAATTGAATCGTCAAGGCAAGTATGCAGAAAATTTGTGGGACTCATGGTTGAAAGGAAAACAAAGTAAAAAATCGAATCCCGAAACGTATTTCTTTTTGTTTACAACAATTCGGTAATGTTACTTACTGTCAAGGTCGGCCACTATGTGTTTAAAATGCGCAAAGTTGAGGACGAGCTACTTCATTTGCAAAAACTGCAATTCTGTATAACTCATAATATAATTGATCATCTTATTAATATTTTTATTTAATTTTATTAATATTTTAGTGCAAAACTTTTTTTTATTTATATTTATTTTTTTATATTGTTTATTGTTATTATTTTGTTATTTCATTAAGTTACAAACTGTAAACAATAAAGAATCAATTTTCCGTAACTCCAAACATGTTATTTTATTTTTTAACGATTAATGCCCTTTGAATTTTAAACATGGCCGACCTTGACTGTAATGGCTAACCTGGACTACAAATTTTTTTTTTTTTAAATCTTTATAACTTTTTCATTTTTAAACCTGTCAATTTACTTTGTACAGAAAAAATGTTCCTATTAAACAGGACTTTCCAACCATATACTTCAATTGTCCAAATTCATTTTTAAAAAAAAGTTATAAACAAAAGTCAAAAAGGTGGCCGACCTAGACTATGTTCCCCTACATAAATGATATTTCACAACTAATGCTAATAATGAGTAAACTGGCAGATTTTTATCTAAACAGAAATAACATAAGCAGAAGTACATTAAATACTATTATAGAAAATGGAATACGTAATATAAGTTATATAAATGATTGTCTTGTGCCATAAGCAATTCATGTCACTTTATTTCTGTAATATATTAATTTATACAATAAAAAAATCATACTATTGTCTATATATTAGTCATAATTAATTTTTCCTCACATAATTTATCATTTATTTATTTTATTTATTTATTATTTATTTATTTACTAGTGAACTCTATGTGTACCATTTAATGACATTCCATATCACGGTTAGAAAAAAAGAAAAATTTTCGTTAAAATGATTCTAAATTTTAAAAAAAATTTCAATTTTTCTTTTTTATTATAATTAACAGCATAATTATATTTTTTATTACAATTTTTAACTAAATTATTATTTAAATTCTAAATATTTTAGTATTTTTATTTTTGTTATTACCTACTTAACGACTAAATCACTGATGTTTATATACTTTAATCAACTCTTTTTCGTTTGTGAGAGAGATTTGTTGCCCTCTAGGCGGACAGTAATGGAAATATTTTGGCGCGAAATTCAAATTTAATGGAAAAAAAGCAAAGTAGAAAAAATGCCTGCACGATATTTAAATTCAAGGCTCGATTCATTTCGTTTCGACATCACTTGTGAGCGAGTTTTGTCGCCACCTGGCGAAAAGAAACAAAATTGGCGCGAAATTCAAATTTAATAAAACAAAACAAAGTAATTCCTTCGCGTTATTAAAATTCCAAATTCGGTACTGAAAATTTATTTCAATCCCAAAAGAACATCCTTATTAAATATTTCTGTCAAAAAACAAAATAAAAACTGACAAATATTTCGATTAACATATACCAGGGTAAAACATTTTTTTTCAGCATTAATTTTTTTTTTTGTTCCCGAAAGTGTATAAATATAAAATGAGGGAGAAAAGGGTAAAAAGGATTGGTGCTTATTCAATAAACAACCGGTGAGATCGCTATTTACGGCAATTAATTCATGTACTTTTTCAACAACTTCCCATGCAAATATACCATTCCTTTCGCGTTGCTTTATGGGATCTTATGTGGAAAAAAATAAATGATCTGATAAAAATTCCTCTCGAACACCAATGACCACATGCGGGGCGATCAGGACACACTCTTCAGCATGAGTATATTCGATTAGGATAAGCAAAAGACATTTCGAGTTTCATTAAATTCGAAATATAAAACAGCGAAAGTTTACCGGGGCGCACGCGCGACTCTTTTATTTTTAGGGGATAATCGATGAATATTCATAAACCCTTACAAAAAAAGAAAAAAATTATATATATGCTTAACTGCACGTTTATATATTCTTAGAATGAGTAACTTTCCTTTCGTCTCGATTCATTTACATTTGTAGAGAGAGAAAGAGGGAAAAAATTATACAGATTGAGAGAGAGAGAGAGAGAGAAGCTATACACAAGCGAGAAATAACATTTCGAGATAAATTCTACTTTATTAGCCAACTTCATTAATATGCATTTTATCAATATGCTCCGCAACATACGAATTTTTTTCGTTATAAAAGCGCGAATTTGAAAATTATTCCTTTTTACTGCGGGAAGAATAATTTTTCGATGAAAATTGAATTATTTTTTTTTTCCTAAAGGGATTTTATTTGTATTTTTAGTTTTGCTTTTTTTTATATACAAAGTTTATTTTTTAATCAACTTAAAAAAATTTCTTTTATTTCCCAGATTTTTATTAATTTTTTTTTCACTTGAAATTCACGTTTCAATAAATGGGAATTTAACACAATTTCGAAAAGAAAATTTGTTCATTAATGACACTGAATATATTGTGCATAAATTTTCACTAAACTTTCTCATTAAATAATTCCAAGATGAGAGTTGAAAGCTTATAAAATTTACATTTCTAGAAGGATACGTAATTTGCTTTCCCACGGTGTTTATATATATGTGACATATGCTATTGTGTCAACCTCATTTGTCAACGCTACTATTTTATTATACTGGAATAGAAAAGAGGTGTAAAATGTTATTTACAAGTGTTTGCCAAAAAAAACTTTTTTACGTTTAATAAATTTTTTTACTAATTTATTTGATTCTATTATTTTTCATTTTTTATGATTCTATTATTTTATTTATTTTCTATATAATAACAAATTATTTTTAATAATAATAATATTACAGTATTGGATCAATGCCAAGTGTTGAATTTAAATACTGAACCAAAATTGCATATCTGACAACTAGAAAAAAACTATTTCCAATTTTTATTTCGTTAACTATTGACTGAATAAAAAAAAATATTATACCTGACTAGGAATAATATTTTTTTTTATTATAATTATTTATTAATTGTTGATTATAATTATTAACATGATTTTGGAAAATTCTTCTCGCTTGTGAGAGAGTTTTGTTGCCCCCTAGGCGGCCAGTAACAGAACTTTTTGGCGCGAAATTCAAATTTAATGAAAGAGAACAAATTAGAAAATAATTCCCGCTCGATATTTACATTCGTGGCTCGATTCCTTTCGTTTCGACACCACTTGTGAGTGAGTTTTGTTGCCATCTAGCAAAAAATATAAATATTCGAGCGAAATTCAAATTTAATCCTCTTCAAATTTTCCGAAAATTAAAAAAAAGCTAACTGTCCGAAAATTCTAGAGAAATTTTTGAGAAGAATTCTAAGGAATTTCTCGAGAGTTCTAGAGAAGTTCTCGAGAATATTTTTTCATAGAAAAAAAAGAATTTTTAAATACGAAAATTCTTTTTAATACTCAAATTGGAAAAAAATTTTGTAAGAAATTTTGTTAAGAAATTTTTTTCTAAAAAAGATTCAAGTAGACGAAAGTATCTCTCCAGAGTTAAAAATATGAAATCAATGATGAATATATTAATTGAATACGTGATAAATTTACAATTTAATTTGAAATTCTCTTTTTTTTCGTACAAAAATAATTCCGTGGGAATTAAGAAATAAATATTTAATTTGAATCTAAATTTTAAATTACCTGATCGTTATGTAGAGTTAAACTTATTTCTACCTCTGTAAGTTTCAAACCTCTATAGGGGAGACACGTAACACACGCGAGTGGCACGCGCGGCGCGCGCTCTCAACTTTACAAGAACCAGTTCTCCACGGAATAGAAATCAACTTCTCAAACTCCAATCATCGGAATTCATATTCGTTGAAAATTTATTTCACTAAAAATCTTATTTTCAACTTTTTAGTTCTTTAAAAAAAATAATTAAAAAAGATTCGAAACTTTGAATTTCTTTACCCCTTTAATCTATAGATTAAAAAAAAAAATTCAAACAGGAAATTTTTTTAAAAACTACTAAAAATATTATCTTACCGAATATTAATATTCAATCAATCATTATTGAAGAGGAAAAAAAGGAACTATGCGAAAGATTGCGAGTGTAATTCAGTGTCTGACCTCAGGTGAAATTTTGTGTGTAAGATCTGATACATAAGTTTATAATTAGTGTGGTAGGAGTAAAAAAAATCTGACTCGCACCAAGTCAACAGCGTGTTAATAACAGTTCTTTTAATTATAACCGTTTCCATCTAGAGCGTTTCTGAGGGCAGGTGTTGATAGGTAGACATTAATCACCGAAGCGTCTCTCGCTCATCTCAACATCGCACGAAATGTTCCTTCTAAAAACATTAGCGAAATCTAGTTTATTCGTGAGCAATCAATCTGTAATCCGACTGCTTGTTAAGTTTCGTGAATATATACTATTGTTGTGTGTATATTCAAACAAGAAACAGAACCGAGCAATCAATCAATTTTAATTAAATCCTTCTGTCAGCGCACTCAAAAAAATGCATACAACCATCATCAAAAAACAAAAAGTGCAAAAAAAAATCCATTTTAAATAAAATTAGAAAAAAAAATGGAGGAACCGCTACAACATGTTACGAAAATTATTTTTATATTCGTTAACTCTGTGATTTTTTCTTATTTCGAAATTCGAAATTTTTCTTATTGAGAAAAACAATTGTATTCATAATTTGGTAATAATCTATTTATTTCATTCCAGACTT